GTGGTCAACCAGGAGTCCTTTTGTCTGTGAATGCAAGAGAGCCCAAAATGTAGACAGGAGAGCCTGAAGAGTTCCTTGTGCTGAAATCCAATCCCCAACCCCCCCCCCCAGTTGCATATGAGAAATATTTGACATAGTTCTGACACGCAATTCAATTCAATTCAATTCAATTCAATTCAATTCAATTCAATTCAATTCAATTCAATTCAATTCAATTCAATTCAATTCAATTCAATTCAATTCAATTCAATTCAATTCAATTCAATTCGGGAGGGGCTTAGAATTGGTCCTTACTTTGCACAGTTATTAGAAAGATCCCATGCCTTCAGGACGGAGAAAGAAAATGGCGTAGGCGGTTGAATACAGGGCAATCCACCCCTGCAAGCTCTCTCTCACAATCTGCACGCCCAGTCTTCCGCAGGATGGCCTGAGCTTCACTTGCGGGGTTTTGCTTGCCCATTGCACGTACTGTAGACACGTGGTATATCTACAATAAAAAGTACGTTTAGAGTTTCAGATGAGAATTAGAGAGAGCTGATTGCATGCCCACTCTCTCACAAGGTCAAAATAGTCCCAAGAGTCATCCGGTGGCTTTGTGTAGACAGGGAATCTTCCTTGCCAGTGATGCGGCATAGATGCGTAGGCCCAATGGTTATACTGCCGTTCAGCGATGCCAGTCTGGTAGTTGAAATGTCAGCATATGCAGCGGTCAGCGAGAGGAAGAGGCAAGGACTTTCAGTCAGCGCAGGCATCCATGATTTAAATAGATTCACGCCCCAACTCAAGAGCTTGGAAAACTCCTCCTGAGGTGACTGCCATACTCGTGAGTTCCTACTGAAGTCTACTGAACAAGAAGACAATCGTTAGTCACTCTTATAGGGGAGTCTTCTTCTATTTGGAGATGTGAAGCATGTCCCCCGCCCCCAGGACAGAATACTTTGCCTGCTTTCAATAACTCAGTGCCCCCCCTTCACCCACTCTTGCTCTTGTGGCCCCAAATTCTTTCCCCCTTTTCTTACTCTGTACAGGTCCAAGATGGCGTTAGAGTAGCAGCTGCTGTGAACAGCTCTCTCACCGTTCATTCTACTTCTCGGGGGTATCAGCATAATTTTAATGATAAACAAGGATGCGGAAACATAAATTAGAAATGAGAAGGACCTTGAGAAAAAGAAAAATCAAAACGTGGTACTCACAAGACACTCGTCTAAGAAAACATCCCAAGCAAGGCAAGGCGGAGATGACCACCAGACAGCCAAAGATAAGTGATTTATTACAGCCTAAGGGTGCTAAACCTAAGTCCTACTTTCCTTCACCTTCGACTCCTGTATCCCCTGATAACAACCTCTCCTCTTCATTAGATTGGGATGCGGAAGAGTGCTCTAATTCCAGAAACGAGGCAGTCAAAAGTGACAGAGGGGAGGATATTGTCCATACCAGAACAAACTTTAAAGATGATTTTGATTTGGCTGCTAAGAACTGCCTCCTAACAGCACAAACAGTAATCGCAATATTTGACCGCCTCTTAGATGCTA